GCCCCCGCCCCCGCCAACCCCGCAGGCCCGCCCGGCTGCGACTCGAACTCCGTCATCGTCACCCCCTCCTCGACCACGGTCACCAACGGCATGGTGGTGGTGACCGTCACCCTGGGCGCCTCCCTGTCTGGCGCCACCCCCGTCCTCACTGTCACCCCGGCTGGGACCTGCAGCCCCAAGGTTGGACAGGACCTCGTTTATGAGTGCACCGGCCTGGGGAGCGGCGACAGCACCATCACCGCGACGGCGAGTGTCTCAGGTGAGAGGGGGCGCTGGGGTGGCGCGCTGAACGGCGGGCGCATCGCCTGTGTGTATGTGAGTGCGTTCGTGTGTGTATTGGTTGAGACAGGTACAGCATTTTGCGCTGTGAAAACCCCATAATTGCAGTCCAGGCCGCTGATTGCAATTATCTTGGGACTGCTGCATGCCCTCTCAAATCAGGGGCCACGTCGCCTTTGCACCCGCCTGCCGTCACTGATCTCTCCTGCCGGGACCTCTCCCCCTCCCCCTTGCGCTCCGCGGCCCCCGCAGCGACCTGCAGCGGCACGGGGAGCACCAAGGTCACCTCGACGACCGGTGAGTGGGGGACCCAGCCGTTGGCGGCAGCTTCCCTTCAGCTGCCTCCCAGCCAAGGTTCTGATCCGGCGCTGCCTGCCGCTAAAAAAAAACATGCAGGCCCCGTTAAACTTTGTCTGGGGTTCTGCAAAGCGGCGCTGCGCCCAGGTTGCACGCAGCTCCCGCCTCGCCACCAGCTCCCGCAACCGCCAAAATAATGCGCTCTCCCTGACCTCCTCTCGCCCCCCTTGCCCGCCTCGCGTCCGCCCTCAACGAAAGACTGCACTGGCACAAAGGTCACAGTCACGGCCTCCAGCGCCTCGGTTTCAGTGGGCAGCTCGGTCGATATCACAGTCACCCTGGAGGGCCCCGTCATCGGCGGCGCCGTCTTGCTCGCCCCCATCCCCGCGACTGGCGTGACCTGCACCATCAAGTCCGACACGCCGAGCGCAAAGGTCTACACATGCTCTGGCATGGGCCCCGGTGTGACCACCTTCATCGCAACCGCGAAGAACAGTGAGCGGCGCTTTCAGGGTTTGTGAGGGAATGAATCGCCCCCGCCGAGTGCAATTTTCGTTTGGCAGCGCCCGAGCCCCATGGCTTCCGCCAGCGGCTGTTCGGCGGCCGCCTGGCTGCCTGTCCCTGCGCCGGGGTCGTGCCTGGTGGGCGGTGCGCAATAGCAGCCTGGCAGGGCGCGCGGACCCTCGCTCGCCTCTGGCCATGAATTTCGCCCGACGCCAGCCCTCCTCCTCAACTGTCCCACAACCCCACTTCTACATGCTCAACCCCCACCGCCAGGCGGCAACGGCTGCGAGTGCGGCAGCTCAACCACTGTCTTGGTCACCGCTGGTGAGCGAAAAATGTTAAGGGAACCGCGCAGCCACTCGCGAGCCTCGCGGGCCCCAGCCGGGAGAGGACTGTCTGGAAGCGCGCTGTGGCCCACTGTCGATTTTACCCCACACCCAAAAACCATCCACAAACTTTTCTGTGATTCCGCACAACCCTGCCGCTCACAGTTTGCAAGGACTACACACTCACGGTGGCGCCCAGCGACCAGACCGTCTACGCCGATACGACCACCAACCTCGGGAGCGCGACGATCACGGTGACCCCCAGCGCGCAGCTCGCCGGCGTCACCCCGCAGTTCTCGTTCTCGCCGGCGTCGTCGGCGGCGTGCGCCGCGACGGGCAAGCCTAACGAGTACCTGTGCACCAAGCTGCCGATCAGCGTCACCACCATCATCACTGTGACCGCCTCCAAGGACGGTGAGCCACCCCCTTTTCGCCCTGCCCCCCACGCCTGGTGTGTGTTCGATGTGTTGATCTGCAAGATTTGGATCTCCGATGCAGCCGGCTTGACACTTGCATTGATTAAGGGTCGGCACACGCAGGCCCCAGGACAGGCCTGCTAGCCAGCTGCCTCGCACGGCGCGACTGCAGCACCGGGGTTCCTGGATGACTGCAAAGATCTGCTTCCCCCCCCCCCCCGACCCTGCAGGCTGCACGGGCACCGGCACGGCTACTGTCCTGGTTAAGCCCGGTGAGTAGGCAGATCTTCTGACCGTGCACGCGCCCCATGTGCATGCACCCGGATGGACACAAAAGCACCCAGGCTGGCCTGCACTCTGAGTAGCAAGCCGACGCTTGTTTTGCGGCTCAAGCTGGGGGCCGGCGCCGTCACGTCACCCTCAGCAGCGTTGGCAGCAGCCCCTGGTCGGCTCGCCGCCACGCCCGTGCCACCAGCCCCTTGACCCCGTCTCGCCGTCTCGCCGTCTTTTGCTGCTTCCCCCTCCCCTCAGACTGCCCCAAGTACACCATCACGGCCGTCAGCACCGACAAAGACTCGACCGTCATCGCCGACGGCACCACCAACCTCGGCACCGGCCACATCAAGGTTACGCTCAGCCCCGCCCTGGTGGGCGCCACTGTCACCTTCTCCTACTCGAAGCCCGGGGTGGAGTGCAAGCTGGACGCGGGGTCCCAGACGGACTACACCTGCACCGGCCTGCCAATTGGCGACACCACGATCTCCATCAAAGCCTGCAAGGATGGTGGGCAGCAGCGCTCGTTCAAAGCCCTGCTTTGACGTCCGAGGTTGCCAGGGCTTCTCCCCGAAGTATGACGTGCGCTTGCTTTGCTTGCAGTTGACGCCTTGCATTTTGCCATTCTGCCTGAGCCGCTGCCATTAGCAGGCGCGCGTCCAAGGCGTTAGGGGTGCGCCTGGCGGTGAGTCCTCGTCTGGATGCCTGCCCCCAGCCCACGCCCTCACCTTTGATCCACCATCGCTCGCGCCACGCCCCCGCAGGCTGCACGGCGCACGCGTGCGTGACGATTCACGTCGTCTACGGTGAGCCGCGGGCCCGCCTTTCGGTCCTCCCAACACGCGCTGCCACAAGCCTGCAAACCGCCCTGCCCTGAGCCTGCGAGCTGCGTGCCAACTTCAAAGTGGTGGCACCAGCCGCTTCACCCACCGCCGTCACCTGGAGACCTGGCCTAGCCTGTCCTGTTTGACAGGCGCTTGCTGCCTGGCCACTCTGCCGATGCACACCCCCGCCGCCTCCCCCCAACGCATGCACCCGGCCCCCGCACCCGCAGACTGCCCCAAGTCACACACCATCACGGTCAAAGCGGTCACGCCCGTGGTCAACTCGCCCACCGGAAGCTTCGAGGTCACCGTCAGCCAGGCCCTGGACGGCGCAACCCTCAACATCACGTCTGTGCCCACGGGCGCGGTCTGCACGGCGGGGGCGAAGACCGGCCTCACCACGATCTACACGTGCACCGGCCTTTCGCGTGATGTGAACACAGTGACGTTCCAGGCTACTAAGGACGGTGAGACAGCGCCGCGCCGCCCTAGTCCGCGCCACCGCGTGGGGTTACTTTTTTTGAAGGGTTCAGGCTCGGTGTTCTGGGGTTCATTGATGCATGCATGAGGGCGGGTGGGGGCAGAGCTGGATGGAGCCATGCTTACTTGTGCTTACAAGGTTCTCATACTACCATGGCAGAGCTGAGCTGGGGATACCTGCTGGCCCCACGGCCCAGGCAGCATCACCAGCCCTCTACCACCTTTTGCCTGACAAAGCCTCCCCCCCCCCCCCCCCCGCGCCGCGCCGTCCTCCTCTCCACCTCGCAGGCTGCGACGCTTCCGGCAGCGCTACCATAACGGTCCAGCCAGGTAAGAGCGAGCCCCGCCCCATGCCTTAATCGCGACAGGGCGGGCTGAGCTGAGCCAGCCCCCGCAGTCCGGGCCCTGGGCTCATCAGCAATTGATTGGCTTTCTTACTCGTGGCTTTATTTGATGTTCGATGGCGGCGTTTGATGTGCCGTTGCGGGTGGGTGTTGTGTTGCCCAAGCTCGCGCACCCGTGCCCGCTTCCGACGATTACGTGGCGCGTCCCCTCACCTTCTACCCGCCGCACACCGCCCCCCCCCTCGCAGACTGCTCGACCTACACTATCGCGGTCAATCCGCCAGAGGAGGCCGTCGTCCCTGGCGACGTCAATAACAAGGGCACGATCACTTTCGGCGTCACCCTCAGCGCGCCGCTGATTGCCGCCAAGGCAATCCCCACGGCGACCGTCGACAAGGCCGGCGCGACGTGCACGGTGACGCCCGTGGTGGCGCCGGCCGATGGGAAGTTCACGGTGACCTGCAGCAACCTGGCCCGCGATTTGAACATAATCACAATCGAGGCAAAGGCCGACGGTGAGCCAGGGGCGGCGACGCGCCGCGGCCGGGCACGACACATGGTGGCCGAGTGGGTGCGCGCTCCCGCTGCGCGAGGCTGCTTACGTGCATTCTTGCATGTGCACGCGTAATGCGCCGGCGAGCAGCGGCGCATGCCACTGCAGCCCTTGGGACCCCTCGATGGGAGCTTCATACCAGATCCATTTTGCGCTACTTTGTGCCCCCCTGACACATGTTGCCCTCGCCCTCCACGTCCACCCAGGCTGCTGCGCCTCGGCGACCAAAAAGGTCAAGGTCAACCCCAGTGAGTTGACTGGCGAGCCAGCACGCATGACGCTGCACCCCGCTGACATGCGTGCACCCGTCCCTGGGAGTGTTTCAACTCCCCTCCAGGCTCCCCGCCAGCCCTTCGGCATTGACTGGCAGCGTCCCAACAGCCAGCCACCCGCGCATGCTGCCGCCTGCCCGCCAAGGCACCGGACTCGCAGCATGGAGCGTATGGCGCAGGCTCGCCCGCGCCCGCCGCCGGCCTGCGCCTGACCACACCCATCCTTTGCTCCGCGCACGTGCCCTGATACACCTGATCCCAATCCCAAATTCAAACCTCTATCATTGCGCCGCCTGCACACAGACTGCGACCTCTACACCGTCACCGTGACCCCGAGCGAGCTGACCGTCACAGCGGACGCCACCACCGGCAAGGGCTCCGCCACTTTCACCGTGGCCCTCAGCCAGGCCATCATCAACGCCGGCGGGAAGCCCACGTTCAAGCCCGCCGGCATCGTCTGCACCGACGCCGGGGGCGGCAAGTACACGTGCGGCAACCTGCCACTGGGGGACACAGAGATTACCGTCTCGGTCACCACTCAGGGTGAGCTTGTGCGCTGCCGTTCGGGGGTCTGATTTGGTGGAATGGACTCAGAGGGCTGCATGTGTGTGTGTGTGTGTGTGTGTGTGTGTGTGTGTGTGTGTGTGTGTGTGTGTGTGTGTGTGCGCGGTGTGTGTGTGG